GTGGAGTGGGACTGGGTGTGTTTGGGGAGGCAGCATGGGAGTTACAAGAAGTGATGTCTGGAATTTCAGAAGGGAAGAGGTTAACACCCAAAATATCTGGGATAGCCACAAGTGGGACATGATGATGCCGCTCTGTTCATTCAGACACTAGCAGCTCTGCTAAATAGTTTATCCTGCACAATTTCTTCTGTTGTTCTTTGTTCAGCTCCCTTACTTACCACAGCTCCAGCAAAACCAGGGGACATTCATGAAGAAGAGGCCAACTTAACAGAGGTAAAAGGATTGGGTTGAATATAAGAACGGCCGTACTGGGTCAGACCAAAGGTCCTTCAAGCCCAGTAGCCTGTCTACTGACAGTGGCCAGCACCAAGTGCCCCAGAGAGGGTGGACCGAAGACAATGATCAAGCGATTTGTCTCCTGCCATCTCTCTCCAGCCTCTGACAAACAGAGGCCAGGGACACCATTTTATACCCTGGCTAATAGCCTTTTATGGACCTAACCTCCATGAAATTATCTAGCTTCTCTTTAAACTCTATTATAGTCCTAGCCTTCACAGCCTCCTCTGGCAAGGAGTTCCACAGGTTGACTACACGCTGTGTGAAGAAGAACTTTCTTATATTAGTTTTAAACCTCCTACCCATTAATTTCATTTGGTGTCCTCTAGTTCTTCTATTTAGGGAACTAATAAATAACTTTTCTTTATCGGCCCTCTCCACACCACTCATGATTTTATAGACCTCTATCATATCCCCCCCTCAGTCTCCTCTTTTCTAAACTGAAAAGTCCCAGTCGCTTTAACCCATCTCTTTGTTCCTTTAGCTAAGGCCCTATCATTAGGCTAGTTTGTCTCTTAGAGGCTAAAGGTTAGCCTGAGCTTTAGATGAGTTTGTCCTGTAAGGATGATAATCTTTCCTTTGAAAGAGAACCCCCCCCCCCCAAAAAAATATTATTCAGCTCTTTTATGTCATGAGTGGCATTTGATTGGTTGATGGTGTATTGCCTTAATTTTTAGGAAGCCTTCACAGAAAACCGCCAGGATGGTGTATCCAGGAGATTCATTCCTCCAGCCAGGTATCACTTGGGGTTTGTTCCACAAAACCGATGTGTTTGCAGAGGCAAAACCTAAACCTCCTCACCATAGGCAGGGAGACCAAAGCACTTCAGCCCTGGGTGGTGGGCCCATAACCTGACCTCCAACCACATAGGGCTTGAAGCATAGGACAGTGGGATTCAGGCATCAGCTTTTGGTCCCAGGCCCCAACAAATCTAATGCTAGTCTTTGACACTCCATTAAAAGAGGGTTGCAACCCACTTTAGGGTTCAGACCTACAGTTTGAGAACCATTGGTATAGATACATGAACCTTTGTTCCAGAATTCAAGGGAAAGGACTGCATGAGACATCAGAATTAAAGGCGCAGTGGAGGGGATCTCTGTGAGGAAGCTTTGGGACTAAGTGTCCCACAGTGAGAGAAATTCAGTGATGTTCTGACATTCTTCATCAGTTCACATTAAAATCCTTTTCTCTTCAAGAATGATGTCAACAGAAAGTGCCAACAGTTTTACTCTGATTGGAGAGGCTTCTGATGGGGGCACCATGGAAAATCTCAGCAGAAGACTGAAGGCAAGTCATGAGACGACAGACTAGATGTATTCTTGAACTATCTGATGACGTGGGTTTTATCCAATAAACCATGATATATTTGTTAATCTCTAAGGTGCCACAGGACTGTTCATTCTTGAATGTACTGTAAGTTCTTTGGGGCACTTTGTGATTTGGAGTTGTAATTCGTATTTCTGGCCTTGCATAGAATGAAGGTAAACTATCTTACAGGCTGTTCACTTTATCAAATTTGAGCTGTGAAAAATGACAAATCATTGTTCTCTTAGGGGCAGAGTCTGAAGACTCATTGAAAACTTGGTTTTCATTTAATATTAAGAAGAACCTGGAGCTGATTTTAAATTTTCTATACTGAGAGTGAACTCTTTCTTTAGGTTACTGGTGACCTTTTTGACATTATGTCAGGACAGACAGATGTGGACCATCCTCTGTGTGAGGAATGCACAGATACCCTTCTTGACCAGTTAGACACACAACTCAATATCACCGAGAACGAATGCCAGAACTACAAGTAAGTGATTTATTATGGAACCGGTGGAGCACTCCATTATCACTTCCAGAAGTCTTAGTCCGAAGAGCAGGGAAAGACTATAGATTTGATCACTTTAATCAGTGAGGTAAAGAAGCCCCTCCAAATTTCATCTTTTGAAAATTGCCTTAAGCATCTTTTTGTAACCACCTGCTGTGTCCTGTAGACGATGTTTGGAGATCTTGGAACAAATGAATGAAGATGATAAGGAGAAACTGCAAATGGAGCTGAAAGAACTTGCTTTGGAAGAGGAGAGACTGATTCAAGAGCTGGAGGAAGTAGAGAAGAACCGCAAGATGGTAGCAGAAAACTTTGAGAAAATCAGGGCAGAAGCAGAGAGACTGGATCAGGAGGAAGCACAGTGAGTCTTAGCCAAACTCTATTACATGGCAGGAGAGACACCCACTTGTTCATATTTGTATCAGACTGGCTTGTGGGCAAACATGTACTGTACTTCTAGTGAGGTACAAATGGCTTCCTCTGTTACAAAACTGGGAATCTGGGACCTTCAGTTAGATGGACTTAGGTTTGAATGAGCTACAGAGCCTGAGCTCTCCTCCCGTCATAGAGAGAGTCTGTCTGGGGTGGTGGTGCATATAGGAGTTGGTCTCTTGCTGCCTTGTGTTGCTGAGGTTTTTTTTATTGTTGCTGTTTGAAGGTATCAGAAGGAGTACAGCGAATTCAAGAGGCAACAACTCGAGCTGGATGATGAACTGAAAAGTGTTGATAACCAGATGCGCTATGCCCAGGTCCAGTTGGATAAACTGAAGAAAACTAATGTGTTCAATGCAACTTTCCATATCTGGTAATGCTCTGGGCTGGAGGGACAGAGCTGCTGAAGCATCAGTTTTCAGAAGTCTATATTACAGCATCATTTCCAAGATTTTTGGCAACTTAGGCGCTAGGCTGGGCTGAACGGTACCTCTTAGCTGAGAGCAGGCAATCTGATCTCCTTGTAGTGACAGCTGTAAGGAAACATGCTCTTCCCAGCCTGCATGAGGAGAATTGCAAACGCAAGAGCAGCTGGCAGGTGCTATCTCTAGGCTGTCAAACCGGGGACAACATGGGGCCCAGTGCTGAGCTTAACCGAACTGCTCTGCTTGAGCTTTTGCACTTGGTGTTTTACACAGATAATGTAAGTTGCTCCATTGTCTTTTGAAGGATCTCAAAGACCTGATGGCTTGCAGAGTTATTATAGCAATGGGGGTGAGGACCCTGTTGTGCTAGGTGCCATAAAAACAATTCCTGCCCCAAACAGCTTACTTACAACTTTCCTCTTAATACAGGCACAGTGGGCAGTTTGGCACAATTAATAACTTCAGACTTGGCCGCCTCCCCAGCGTCCCAGTAGAATGGAATGAGATCAATGCAGCTTGGGGGCAGACTGTACTACTGCTTCATGCCCTTGCTAACAAGATGGGCCTGAAATTTCAAAGGTAAGAGCAATACTTTATACACCTTGTCCTGGCTGTCATACCAGGGCAAAAGGCACTCAGACTTGCCTGCTTTTTCTTTCAGATACCGTCTTGTTCCCTATGGAAACCATTCATATTTAGAGTCTCTCACAGACAAATCAAAGGTAAGAAAATCCAAGAGTAATCTGTCTGGAATGCTAAAATCCTTCTTATTCATGCTAATAGGAGTGAGCAGAAAATCTAAATCTTGCCATTCACATTTAGATCGTATTACAGGCCTTAATACAATTACTGCTGTAACCACCTTACCTCTAATTGTGTTGTGTTCTCCCCTAGGAGGTGGGAGGAGGCAGGGAAACAGGAAGTGCCCTACTTTATTTAAAAGCCATTGTTTTGTTCAGTTGAGATGCATCAGTAGGCTCAAGAGTCTGTCCAGATGGTGAATGGTGGCTGGGATAAGTAGTTTAAGGACTGGAATGCAGTGAGGCTTTGCTCTTGAGGGCAGAGAATCCCTCGGGCCGTCTCATATGCTGTGGGGAGAGTTTCTAAAATAGTTCTAAGCGGCCGAGAGTCCAACTTCTCTCTTTCAGGAGTTGCCCTTGTATTGTTCTGGAGGTTTAAGGTTCTTTTGGGACAATAAATTTGATCACGCAATGGTGGCGTTCCTGGACTGCGTGCAGCAATTCAAAGAGGAGGTGGAGAAAGGCGAAACTCGTTTTTGTTTGCCTTACAGGTAAATGTCACTATCTGAATTACTTCTATAACACATTGCATATTAGTCCCTGCATCCTGGCCCATAGCATTCTTTGTTATTCCAGGCCTCTTATTTTTAGCCAACTGCCAAATCTTTTTGGTTTTGTACTTGAAGAGCAGAGAAATATTTCCCAAGCTCTGTCCCTGTTGACCTAAATGGGAGATGAAAGGCCATTGCATAACTTTAAAAAAGCTGTTTTGTTTTTTTACCTTTTGGTGAAATAGGGGATCAGACTGTGTCTTAAGCAAGATGTGGAATGTTCATGTAAAATTCATAACTGAGATTAAAGGCTCTGAAAATACAGTACTTCATATGTCTAACCCAGCAACTGGAAATAGCTACTTCAAATTCAGTGGAATTAAACTAGTTTAAATGAGGTGACAGATCACACAGCATTAGTATATTATAAGAGATGGTAATGTGAATGTGGTGTTAACCCTCTGTTTATGTGGTACAGAATGGATGTGGAGAAAGGCAAGATCGAAGATACAGGTGGCAGTGGTGGCTCTTACTCTATTAAAACACAATTTAACTCTGAGGAGCAATGGACAAAAGCACTCAAATTCATGTTAACTAATCTGAAATGGGGTCTTGCCTGGGTTTCATCCCAATTTTATAACAAATGACTGTGTGCATGTGTGTATAAAGAACTTGTCCTGAGGGCTAACGACTATCTGCTTTATTTTTTTTTTGAGAATGTCAAAAATTGTCACTTAATGTTAATCAATACAACATGTTTACAATACCAAAAAACAAGACACTTTAAAATTTCATTTTACATGTAGTACAGAGAAAAGCAATATGTAAAATTGTACTGTTGAACAGAATATAATTCAGCTCTCTATGAAATAGCTAGTTAGCAAGTATCTGAGTTTTATAACCTGTTGTAAACTTGCTGTACAGCACCAGTGGATATCTGATGTAATCTCTTTGCAACTTAAGAGTACACCATTAGAAAAATGAAATATTAGTGACACAGTGAGAACTGTGTTGTATGCAAAGCCTCTGGAAGCTTTGTCTGTTCATCCTAAAGGGTGACTAATGCTTGAAACTTAGTATCTTCTCTTTAAATCAGAACTGATGAGCACTTAACTTGGTGCCATTGAACTTTATGGGGTTTGATATTGTTTAAAACATTGCCATCTATTTAACTATTTGCAACAAATATTTCTTGCAGTCTGTTCCTGCACAAAGGTGCACTGAATAACACTAATAAAATACTTTGTATTCTGGACAAATTGACTGCTTCCATTCTGCATACACTTTAACCTGTGCACTGAGATGTAGATCTTGAATAATTTTCCATCCAAGTGACATTTAAATCCAGCTTTAAAGCAGGTGGTGCTTGACTTGACTTGCATTTCCCTCCCCTGTTAACACTAGCATAATACCTAACTGTCTGTCTTTTGGCCTCGGGGGTAATTAGATCTGGGGACAGAAAAAAAGGAATATAGGAAGGAACAATGTTGATATTGTAAACTAATCAAGAAAGTCACTGCTTCTGCACAACAGCAACTGTGCAAGATCAAAGCTTGGGCTGGATTATAGCACTTGTACACTGTAGAACAGTTTGCCGATTTGTCATTTCTATAACTAATTTTCTGAAAGCAAAATACCATGCTCCCCATGTCACTACTTCAGACTGAGTATAGGGGATGGTTTGTAAAGGCATATTTTAGCAATTTAAATATCCTATACAGCTGCTACACAGCAATTGTACAAAGTTCATCCTACATATTATAAATCAAAACCAGCTGCATCTGTTACAAAAGGTTCATGGATCAAACAGCATCAGGCTGGCTTTGAAGATCCTGATACCTGGGAAAGGTTGCAATGGAAAATACAAGTTTATTTTGTAGGAGGGTCAATATAGTTCTCTGAAGCTCTAGTTCCTTTGTTCTTCCTTGAAGCAGTAGTGCCAATACTATGTTTCAGTATTGCATATGAAAACTCTAAAATGCTTTCTGTGGTAATGCCAGTGATGCAGTTTAAATGTTCCACAACCTTTAAAAAAAATCTCTTTAAGATGTTTCCTTATTTTGGGCAACAGTGTAGTAGTTCTAGATCTTAAATCTTTGACTATTTGTAAATGAAAACAGAACCAGATTATAGTCTACCCTGTGGCTGGCTGGCTGTGCTACCTAGCTGCTACAGGTATATAAATGTAAAAAAATCACTAGCTCTCTGCAATTAGCCAGTTGAGGATCCTATTAATGGAGGACTTCTCCCTTATGATTTTTTAATACTTAACTGCTTCTGCTGTGAGAGGATAATTTGAAATATTGTAAAATGAAAGCTGGCTGTTTAGGGAGAAATTGGCACCTTGTGGGATCATCTCCCCCCTTTCTGTCAATGGAAGCCTTTGGATATAACATGTTGTAGGAGTAGGAGAGCTTTTCAGAATAGGTTTGCATAGTAACGACACATTAAATTCCCAATCTTCCCCCTACATTGTCCAGCAGTACTAACACATTAGAATCATAGAACACTAGAACTGAAAGAGACCATGAGTGGTCATCAAGTCCAGTCCCTTGCAGTCATGGCAGGACCCAGTACCAGCTAGACCATCCCTGACAGATGTTTGTCTAACCTGTTCTTAAAAATCTCCAGTGATGGAGATTCCAAAACTTCCCTAGGTAATCTACTCCCATGCTTAACCACCCTAACATGAAGATTTTCTTACTGTCCAACCTAAACCTCCCATCCTGCAATTTAAGCCCATTGATTTTTCTTTTTAATTAAAAGCAGTGGGCTTAAATTGTAGTATGACAGGTTTTGTATTAAAAGGACTCCACCTTTCGTATACTCAGTGCAACACACCTGTCCTCATGTACTGTGTAAACAGCAAAAGATGCAAAACTTTAGTTCATATAACCCTAAGAACAGTACTGTGTATTTCCTGTATAGTAGTACCTGATTCCAATATTCAGGATGTAGTATGAAAGCGCTTGTGCTGATTACTCCAACTGCCAAAAGCATGAAATCTTCCTTTACGGACAAAAATTTTGCTCTGTATAATTAAAACAGTAGTAATATCTGCTGTAAAATGAAGCTGTTCAACAGCAAAGTATTGTAGTATTGATACTTTGTATTTTGAGGAAAACAATTTTAGTAGCATTTTAACATAAATGCATACAAATTAACACCTTTAAAAGCTATTTCAGGCTAACATTATGTTCAGCTTAAAGTCCAATCTCCCACTCATTTCATTATACTTTTCACGACTGTTTCACTATACTTTCTTAAAAATAAGAGTTCTTCCCTGTCTGCCTCTTCTACAGCAACAATGTTGAAACATTTTGATTTTTACAAGCATATGGAAAAATTGAGAACATGAACTGTAATATGCAAGAAAAACTGGAATTAGTTTTTAGGAGTATGCTAATAACTTGTTATACTTGGGGCACTTCTGTGTACTTTGTCTTCAAAGTGCTTTTTGAAAACACTGAGCAATACCACCTCCCCACCCAAGAAACTAGTTAATATCACTGTGCTGCAGATGAAGAAAGATGCAATGCACCCAGGATGACAGACAATCACTGTCAAGAGGTGGGGATCAACACTTGAAAAATTAAGTTAATTGTACTTAGAACCAGTTATCCCCAAATACCACCTACTATGGAAAGAAAGCCATGTATGGGGACTTTGGACACTTCATGGAATTAGCAACTTCAATCTGGAATCCTCAGTCCCAGGTTCTTAGTTCACAAAGAATAGTCTTTTGAACTGTGTTGCAAATAACTGACTCCTGTTTTCTCAACAAATGGTCTGGGAGCACTTTATAGACTAACAAAACATGTAGATGGTAAAAAAAAAAAAAGGAGGAAAAAAAAAGAAGGGGAGGAGACAGGGACCAGAGGGTATAGAAAATCAGGAAGGTAGAGGGAATCAGTAAGTATCTGAAGATTAGGTAGTTGGATAGTACTAGCCAAATACACAGAGAAGCATTGGAATTAGAGCTCATCCGCAAATTCAATTCTCATGCTAATGGACTCAATTGTGATGAAGGATGGTTGGGACACTATCAACCTAATATTCAATGAAGGTGCAAACAGCTCTTTTGTAGATTCCTCTAGCAGGAAGGATACTATAAATAGACTTTGATTCTTATCTGCTTCGTTTTAACTACCCAATCTTCAGATATTTACTGATTCTCCCTTCCTTCCTGATTTTTCTATACCCTCTGTTCCCTGTCTCCCACCCCTCTTTATTTCCTTCCTCTCTCCCCCTCCCCCTTTCTCTCCTATTTATTTTGGGTCTGCACATCCTAAACTCAAAACTCTGGTCATCTGAAGAAGTGGGCTGTGCCCACGAAAGCTAATGATACCAGCTATGTGTTTTGTTAGTCTATAAAGTGCTACCAGACCATTTGTTGTTTTTTGCTGTACAGACTAACTCGGCTATCCCCTGAAGCTTCCTGTTTGCTCAGTTCACTATGCACTCTAAGCTGTATCTGCTGCATCATAATGTGTCAGACCACAATGAAACTGCATCAGATGGATGGTAAAGGCACAGGAACTTGGGACCCTCAAGCTTTTTCCCTTCCCTCTGAGCACAAAATCAATATTAATTCAAACGTGTTCTTGGGCATAGGTGGTACTTACATCTGGAGTTCACTTGGTGTTGAATTCTCAATAGAAGTCTTCAGTAAAGTATCATAGATGATATTCCGCATGAGATAAGTTAAATCCAGTAGGTGCACGCATATCTTATGCAACTGTTTCATAGGAAGTAAGCAGCCATTATATCCTAAAGTGGAGATTATACATCAAAGAATATTTTATGATACATAAAACTAGATTATGAAAAATATTAGCCATTATGACCAAGGCAGTTGTATACTGAAGTTGTTTATGGCAAAGATTTTCAGTAGTGACCATGGCAAGGTGAGGCACCCAAAACCTGAATCTCCATAAAAGGGTCTGTCTTTGCTCAGCAATTTCTATCAGACCCCTTTAAGGGATCTCAAGTTGGATCGCCTCCTCCCCTATTCCCAATTCACTTTGGAAAAATTGTGGCCTAGAGTTACTTTAAAAAAATGATTAATCTTATAACATCTTGCCAAACAGGCAAAAGTCCAGTTACCCATTATCTTCTTGGATGCTAACTGTGGACTCCTCATTCTATGATGTATATAAAGCTTGCGTCTGTCGATCAATGGGAGAGGGGGCCCAGGATTCACCCTAGGAAACATCACAGAGTAGGGAAAACACTTTGATGCTTTGGGCTTTCCATTAATAATAACCATATTGGTGAGTTTCTCTTTGTCACTTCATACTTGATTTTTTTACCTCTAAAATGAATGCTTAATCTAAGGTTGTTTAAGAATCTAACTAACTCCACTTAGCCTTTATTAATATCAAGTTTCTTCTTATTAATACTCTTACCTAACACCTCAAGAAGCAACTCAACATAGGCCAATGGAGTTGGCACATTGATCTGAAAGCACAGAGCCTTCAGAATGGCAAGTTCTGACTCCACTAAGTCCTGTTTGGTGTATGAATAGTCTATGGACTGCAGAAATTTCAGAACTGTGTTATTGTTAATTATCTGGGGGAGGAAAAAAAGTCATTATTTTTAAAACTGCTGCTATAAGAGGTACTTTCCCAAGACGCCAGACACCTGTATAATATGCTTTTAACAGTCTGAGTTGAGGACTAACCAAATTATTTTGTTTAACTTGCCTTCTAAACTAAAAATGGAAAATGCAAGCTGAAGCCATTACCCTTTGCTAGGTAGCAGCACATATTATTGTTTTGCAGGGCTGGGCCCTACTGGAGCTGAAATTGGGGATGCTGAGTTTGGGTATTTTATCAGTATAAAATGTTTTCTTAACTTCTGTTCCAGGACACGTGTATATGGTGTTATCACAGATGCCAGACAGGCAAAGCCTCCCGCTCAAATCTCAGACATAACACCATTGCCCACTTCCCAGGAACCATCTTTACCCCAAGGATCAGGGCCATCCTTAGGCATACGCGGAGTACGCAGTCACATAGGGCACCATGCTTTCTGGGGCACCACTCTGCCAACCTGGGATGGAGGGGAAGCATACGCGTGTGCTCTGCACCGGAGCCAGTAGGGGTGCTGCCAGCACTTACGGCCCTGTGAGAAGACCCCACCGGGCTGAGGGACTCCAGCAAGGAGGCCAGCAAGCTGACCCTGGCTGGAGAAGGGAAGCTGTCAGCCTGGGCTGCAGCGTTGGGAGGAGCTGGGGCTGCAACTGGGGTAGAGTCATGTGCGGCTTGGCGTTGCGGCGCCATTTTTTTAAATGGCCAAGCCGTGCCTCAGAAGGAGATGTGCCGAGCGGGGCGTGGGGGAGCAGAACCTCACTAGGGCAGGACCGGCCATGTTGTGATAGGCTGGGGCTGCAAGCGGCCCGGCTCCAGCTCTGGCATGTGGTCTGGAGCCTGGGCTGCAGGGACTTCTGGGGCCCGATCACAGTAGACTCCAGCTCTGCAAATGGAAAGGCAGAAGGTGGGCGAGGGGGAAAATAGAGGGAAGGGGTGGGAGAGGAAGGTGCTTGTGCTGAGGGGGAAGGCACCAAGGGAGGGGTAGAGGAGAGACAATGAAGAAAAGGGCAGGAGGGGAGGTGTCAGTGGGAGAGGGGACAGAGTGATGTTGGGAGAGGAGAGGGGAAAGGCATTGGGGGCTAGAGGGGGGAGGGGGAGGTGCTGGGAGAAGGCTTGAAAGAAGAGGTGTGGGGATAGAGCAAGCTGTGTGTGAGGGCACGGGTGTGAGGGAAATGGGGGCAGAGAGTGGTGAGGGGGTGGGCATCAGGGGAAAAAGAGGGCGGCTGGGGCAGTAAGGGTAGGGAGAGGCACCAGGAGGGTGCAGGGGTAAGGGACGGTGGAAGTGCCAGGGGATTCTGGGGGTGAAGCAGAAGGTGAGACACCTGCAGGGGAGGGACCAGCACCAGAGGAGAGAGGCGGGGCAGGTGTGTAGAGGGAAGTGTTAGGAGAGGAGATGAGGAGGGGTAGCTCACATGATCGTGGAGGGGGCAGGTCTCAGGAGGGCTGAGGGCAGTGAGAAGGGCAGGACTCAGGACAGCAGAGGAGGGTGAAGGGTTGGGGGCAGCAAGCACCAGGGGAGCTGATGGAGCAAAGGGAGGAGACATGGCAGCAGAGGGAAAAGGTAGAGTTTTATAAGATATTTATTAATAACTTGGGTGCCACAGTGGCACATCCAAACAAGCCATGTGAACTCAGTACTGGTGTACAACACGACACTCATTTTGCTCATAGGAGGAAACTCTTGGAGGGAACACTTCGCCCAGCCTCTCCGCCCCTGAGTTAATGTCATACACACTGGGTTAATGCAATTGCAGGATAGTTGCATGAGGGGGATTTGGTGGGGGCCAATCTAATCCCTATCGGTAGGAGGATGGTAGGAAAAGTCCTTGGGTGGGGGTGTCACGTGACACCTTTTACTTTTGGTCATGTGTCCATGTTGCCCTGAGAGTGTTGCCTCCAGGGGTGTGGCTAATGGGGGTAAAAGTACATTTAAAAAAAAATTTTGGGTGCACACCCTAATGAAATGTGCTGTGCACACCTATGACGGTAAGCAGTGGAGCATGTAACAGCAGGGCTGGATCCTAGAGAGCCAAATGCACTGCCTGCAGTACAGTCTGAGGGAGAGGATTGGCTGCTGGGGTCTCTGGGAAGGAGAGGGAGTAGGGGGTGGAAGAGCAAGTCAGGCATAAAGGCACCAGTTTAATAATCTTGGGTAGGGCACCATAAATCCTAAGGACGACCCTGCCAAAGATTGACTTGATAGATTAAGGCAGAGAAAAAACTCCCTTGCTTGCAATATTTTCCTCAAAAAGAAAAAAGTCACAATACTAACAACAATATGGCATTTCTTTCAGACTGAATATCAGGGCATCACATGCCAAGAAAATGAATGTGTAAAGCTACATATCAGTATCATGTGGCAACTGCCACCATAACAATGCTGAGTTTTGATTCGGTGGTATTCTCACAACCAAATGGTACAGGTCATGATTACTCTAAATAAAAAAAATGTGGGTTAACTTTTTTTATTGTGAAGGTGCAGTGTACTTTTTTATCAATGCAAGGGATCTAGATCTGCCATGTCCAAATTAGCCTGAATTACCTAGTCACACTTGTCCTTTGAAATGGTACATCCTTTGGTGTGAAGTTTAGATAAGTTCAAAATCTAAATACGTAAAAATATACTATACTGCTAAAATCTGGTGTAAGAAAGTATTAGTTTGCTCACATTGTAGTGAAAAGAAAGTTTGCTTGCAAGCTGAATGCAAGACACAAGCCGCAGCACAATTGTATCACATATCTGTGCTTTCAAAGTGCTCCAGGTATTGCCCTCTCCTTGTTCATTGGTTACCCTTGACTCTCGGGTAGAGTTATAAATCTCTTCTACGTGCTTAATCATAAACCTGCAAGAAAAAAAGCCAAACTTTGTTAGGAACAATTAGGAAAAGGATAGCTAACAAGATACTAAATATAAAGACTATAAATCAATGGTACATTCACACCTTGGCTGTGTCTAGACTGGCCAGTTTTTCCAGAAAATCAGCCGCTTTTCCGGAAAAACTTGCCAGCTGTCTACACTGGCCGCTTGAATTTTCACAAAAGCACTGACTTCCTACTGTAAGAAATCAGTGCTTTTTGCAGAAATACTATGCTGCTCCCGTTTGGGCAAAAGTCCCTTTTGCGCAAAACTTTTGCGCAAAAGGGCCAGTGTAGACAGCTGAGATTTGTTTTCTGCAAAGTGCTTTTGCAGAAAAGCATCCGTGCCAAGCTAGACGCTTTGTTCTGAAAACGCTTTTAACGGAAAACCTTTCCGTTAAAAGCATTTCCGGAAAATCATGCCAGTCTAGACGTAGCCCTTGAATACTGCATGCAGTTCTGGTGACTTCATCTCAAAGATATATTAGTAATGTAAAAGGAACATTAGCAAAATAATTAGCAGTATGGAACAGCTTCCATATGAGGAAAGAGTAAAAAGAAAAGAAAAGAAACAGTAAGGATGGATAAAATAAAGGTCTATAAAAATCATGAGTGATGTGGAGAAAGTGAATAGGGAAGTGTTATTTACCCCTTCACATCATACAACCAGGAGACATCTGATTAAATTAAAAGAGGCAGCAGGTTCTTCACACAACACAGTCAATCTGTGGAACTTATTGCTAAGGGGTGCTATGAGGGTCAAAAGTATAACTTGGTTAAAAAAATAATTGGCAAGTTCATAGAGGGTAGGTTCATCAATGGCAATTTGCCAAGATGATCAGGGATGCAACATCATTCTCTGGGGATATAGCTACACAGCAGTATTATTACGGAATAACTGATGTTATTCCAAAATAACATAGTCCGTGTCTACACTACAAGCAGTTATTTCGACATAATGTCAAAATAATGTTGAGCTGGAGGACTTCTTACTCCAACTCCTGTAACCTTCATTTTACGAGGAGTAAGAGAAGTCAGAGGAAGAGTGCTTTCTTGGGCTTTCTACGTAATTGACATAGCTCAAGTTGCATAGCTTATTTTGGCTTTAGCCCTGCTGTGTAGAAGTACCCTGGGTGTCCCTAAACATCTGACTGCCAGAAGCTGTGACTGGACAAAAGGGGATGGATCACACAAAACTGTGTTGTTCTGTTCATTCCCTCTCAATCATCTGGCACTGATCACTATCAAAAACAGGATATTGGGTAAGATGGACCATTGAGCGCACCCAGCAGGACCTTCTATGTGTATTCTGAATACTTTGCTCTCAATATACATACCAATTATACTTGTAATTAAATAACAGGAAAGACAAAACTGCAGATACAAAGATACTCCATATCTTCTGCCTGAACAGTGGAAAGTACATACAGTATAACTGTATTACAGGTATAAGAGTCCCATGTTGTCTTTGCTTAGGAAGTTACCTTTCAAATATTTCAACTGCTTGATATCGTGCAGATTGGTCCAGGAACCACTTTTCACACAAGAGAAATACAAATTCTGCAAAAAAGTGCAATTAACAATCACAACAGGAATGGGTGGATACACTATCAACAAGTAAAAGTAAGTGAGTGAGGATAAGGAATTAGATATGAATATTGAGTCAAGCCTTTGCAAAGACACCACTAGTGGGAGTTTATACAGAGGGGCTGTGTCTAGACTGGAAAAACTTGTCAGCTGTCTACACTGGCCGCTTGAATTTCCACAAGAACACTGACGATCTCATGTAAGAAATCAGTGCTTCTTGCAGAAATACTATGCTGCTCCCGTTCGGGCAAAAGTCCTTTTGCGCAAAAGGGCCAGTGTAGACAACTCAGATTTGTTTTGTGCAAAAAAGCCCCGATCGCGAAAATGGCGATCGGGGCTTTTTTGCGCAAAAGTGCCTTGATATCGTGCAGATTGGTCCAGGAACCACTTTTCACACAAGAGAAATACAAATTCTGCAAAAAAGTGCAATTAACAATCACAACAGGAATGGGTGGATACACTATCAACAAGTAAAAGTAAGTGAGTGAGGATAAGGAATTAGATATGAATATTGAGTCAAGCCTTTGCAAAGACACCACTAGTGGGAGTTTATACAGAGGGGCTGTGTCTAGACTGGAAAAACTTGTCAGCTGTCTACACTGGCCGCTTGAATTTCCACAAGAACACTGACGATCTCATGTAAGAAATCAGTGCTTCTTGCAGAAATACTATGCTGCTCCCGTTCGGGCAAAAGTCCTTTTGCGCAAAAGGGCCAGTGTAGACAACTCAGATTTGTTTTGTGCAAAAAAGCCCCGATCGCGAAAATGGCGATCGGGGCTTTTTTGCGCAAAAGTGCGTCTAGATTGGCACGGACGCTTTGCCGCAAAAAGTGCCTTTGCGGAAAAGCGTCTGTGCCAATCTAGATGTTCTTTTCTGCAAATGCTTTTAATGGAAAACTTTTCCATTAAAAGCATTTGCGGAAAATCATGCCAGTCTAGACGTAGCCAGGATGTTACTAATAAAGCAGTATCCTCTAGCTAAGACTAGGAATTAACTAGACCTCATTTGACTTCTGTTATATTTATTACAAGCAACAGACTGTCATCACAGCCAAGACCAAACCACTGCAGGCCCACATAACAGCTACCATGCTAAGGTTTCCTTTAATGTCACTACCTGAATGGACAGGGCATGTTTTTGGGTGAGTGTGTAAAAGAATACCATAACAATATTTTTAGTTGGGGTAAAAAGTGCAGTGGTTCCTGTGTAGCTCTGAATATATCAGCATGAAGTCTTTCATTTACATACTTTGTTATTTAATACAACATTTGCTTTTATGCTTTTTAACATTTGTTTCTACCTTTGCTCAAGTTCAAGTTTTTAATTGACATGTTGGTTGACTCTCAAGAGTTCTCACACTTGTATCAACTGCCATTACCCGTCAGGTTTGTAAATTTACTAATATTTTAGAAATCCATTAATTTTCTTGTACATTACATTGTTGCTGATCACAAAGAAACTTTCCTATTGCTGTATATAACTACACCCAAGTATACAGCAAACACTTGCCTACAGCCAGCTTTGTGTTCATGTAAGAACATTAGTAAGCCCTTGCATTGTGACAAGTGTCAGAGGGATAGCTGTGTTAGTCTGTATCAACAAAAACAACAAGGAGTCTTGTGGTACCTTAAGGACTAACAGATTTATTTGGGCATAAGCTTTTGTGGACTAAGATCCACTTTGTCAAAAGCATGGAGTGAAAATTACAGAATTTCAGAAATTACAGAATCTGTAATTTCCACTCCATGCATCTGGCAAAGTGGGTCTTTGTCCACAAAATCTTATATCAAAATAAATCTGTTAGTCTTTAAATTTCCAACAGGACTCGATTTTTAGTAATCCTTTTACTTCTGGGAGCTCTGAAGTTCAAAAATAAACCACTGCACACAGAAAACAGCTTGATGTGCCTGCAGTCTGGCAGCAGAGGCTCATCATAATTAACTTGTATTTTATTTTTACCTCTAGTTTTGCACCTTCTGCTCCTTCTCTATAAAATGCTGTCAAGGTATTTTCATAATCTGTAAAACACCTTATATAACTTGGCCCTTTGCACCAAATGATTCTGAAACTCCTGTTTTAGGTTAAAACACAGTGAGACTCAATCCTGTGTACTGATTTTCATAATCTCAGATGCACCCCCTAACCCTTTAGAGCAGAGCAGATTTTACACACATCTGCATTGTGGTCTCTACGATATTACAAAATACTCATTGAAGGATAATAAGGATTTGTAAGTGTTCGGTGCACACAAATGCATACACAGTCCATGTGACAGACATACTAACATACACAGGCTGGCAAAGTTCTGCATTTCTCACCCACTATCTTGGTCTCTTTGAAGCATCCTGCCTGATCCGACAGCTTGTTCAGATATTGTTCATTTTCTGTAGCTAAATAGATTAGAGTATCTTCAATGATCTCGGGAGGAACAGCTCCAAAGACTGGCTCAGGGGTGCAAAACCTGGACATTGCCTGGGCCACTGCGCTCATCTTAGCACTTCTGGCCAGCCCTCAAATATAATACAACAACAACAGTATTATTTTTATTACACTGCAGCTGTGCTCACTACCGTAATTATTAAAGAGGGCACCAGCTAGGGCATGGAATAAGTTAGCAGTATTTATGCTGTAGACATATTACACTGTCTTATTCTGGATTTGCTACCTGCATGTGATCAGAATCATCCTGGAACCAGTACACACATACAAATCCTCACTTCTCTCAGCACTGCAGAGCTTATCACAGATACAGGCAAGAAACCTGAACATCAGAGAGGTGGTTCCTCAACAGAACTGTTAGGTACACTCCAACCCCCGGGCCACCCATTTTATGGAATACAGGAGGTCCTCAACTTATGAATGCATTGACGTACGACCATCCACACTTACGACCAGCCTCCCATACAGCCAGTCCCCGACTTACAAACGGCGATCCGCACTTACGAACTGTGCAGTCCCATTTAAATGAATGGGGTCCGACTTACGAACAGATCGAGTTATGACCAAGTGTTTGGTACATAACTCGTTCGGGGACTATCTGTATATGATCGGAGTTTACGAGCGAGGCCACCTGGGGCATCACTGACCAGGCTACCCCACTAACACCAAGGGGAGGTAGGTCCGCAGCAGAGGGCAGAATTGATGGTCTCCAGTGAGGAAGTTGGAGCCTGAGAGCCAGCTGGCACGGCGAACAGCCCACTGTCTGCTGGCACCCTATGCCCGAGCCCACTGGGGTTACACACGGGAGCTGCTATGCCGCAGGGGGGGCATTTCCCAAGAGCGTCCTCAAGCCTCAGGGCCAGCCTCAAGGAGCGAGGCGGGCGGGGAGCCTGCTGGCCCGGGGCGCTCAGCCTGGGCAGGGCTTGGGGGAACCCAGTCCCCTGAGGGAATGGGGGGGGCTGGATGCTGGCACCCTATGCCCGAGCCCACTGGGGTTACACACGGGAGCTGCTATGCCGCAGGGGGGGCATTTCCCAAGAGCGTCCTCAAGCCTCAGGGCCAGCCTCAAGGAGCGAGGCGGGCGGGGAGCCTGCTGGCCCGGGGCGCTCAGCCTGGGCAGGGCTTGGGGGAACCCAGTCCCCTGAGGGAATGGGGGGGGCTGGAGAGGGATATTGTGGGCCAGCCTGGGGGAGGGGTGTTGGAAGGGAGGTGCCCAGCTCTGGGG